ATGTGCGACTATAGATTCAATAGCTCACGCAATATTAATATTTTACAATAATAATATATTATATTATTTTCGTGAAAGACCGAAGATAATAAAGTGATATTGTGTTGTTGAAAACCACCGATAATAATAATGTTGAAAAAAAAATAAAATATTACAATATTAACCGTTATTAGTTAACTAATATAAATATTTAACTTATATTATAAATTATAATATTAATAATAATAATACTATCTTATACTATAATATAAATACCAAAAAAAGATGTGTGCGAATATATAGGTTTCTATATATTATATTCTGTATCAAACATGTAGACGATTTATGAAGTTGTAAAATTCGTAGAAGAAATTTTACTTTGCATATTTTTAGGTTTAGAGAATATTTAAATTATTTTTCATATTTTAGAACATAATGTAATATTATTTAAAAAAGTGATCATTTTTCATTTTCGGGAAAGGATTTTTTTTATTGCAGAAAAAAAAAATTATGAAATTGTTTTATTCAAATAAGTATTAACTTATTTGAAACGTTGAGATTTATTGTTTGTCTATCTTTATGGTTTAAAATTATTAATTATCTTGATTACTGATTTGGTCCCTCGGACTATGATTTGATTTGTTTAACCAAATAGTTTATCAAAAATTTAATATTGAAACAAAATTAACTAAAAAATATAACATAAACATAATAACTCAATTAAAAAAAAAAAGTTTTACTTTAAAGAACCTAAAAGTCCGCTATCTAAGTAATAACTATTCGTATATATTATAAGTTATTTTTATATAACCTATACAATATACATAAAAAGTACTCAGAATGCATATTATTAATATAATTTTTTAGTTTGGCTAAGTTTTATTTCAAACAAATTGAAAAACTAAATCCATTTATCACAACAAAAATTAGCATTCAAAAAAATATAATAAATAATAAGTAGGTTGAACCGGAAATGTTACTTGATAATAATTCGCATAGAATATATAATAGGTATTTGAGAGCTAAATAAAAAGAAAAATTGAAATACCTATACCTAAAATAAAACATGTTGAGTTTAAAATATAATAAGAGTTAACATTAATTGGAAAAATATTTTTGGGAATTTTGATTACTATCCAGTTTACTAGAGGCAATGCTAAGCTAGAATACACCTCGAACGACTTGAACTACTGCCTATTATAAAAATTAATAATCATTGTGTAAATCATCAATTACGTGTATCACGTGTAATAAAAATATTTTTCAGAAGTACCTACAGTATCAACGTATACTAATATACTATACAAAAAATTAGGTTACGGAATTTTATGTAATTAAAATGTAAAACTATGTACATAAATATTTAAGTATAACTTATGAAACAAACATTTAGTAAAACATGAAAAAATATGAAATATACAAACAATTTTATTCATTTCGTATAATTTATTAACCAGCTGTTCCTTGACAGCTGTGGAAAATCACAGTTATCTTTAAATACCAGAATATGATGTGTCGTCGATTTGGCCTTACAATATTATTACCTAAAATAACGTGTTTTACGTTGACTCATTAATATTTTAAAAACGTTATTCAAAGATGATATTTCCAAATTTTTGGCAATTGCTACAGTTAAAATTATTTTTTTATAATCTCTCGTGTTAGTCGATTTACGTATTGTATTTTTTTCTGTAGCTGATTTCATCATATTTATATTGATAATTTTGTTATGACGTACATTGTGCAGCATTTGCATAAAAATATTTAATTATATGAAGTTATTAATATTTTTCATAACATTGATCTTAAATGTATTTTTAGTTATTTAATCCTATGTTTAATCGATTTTTGTTACAAGAAGTGACTAACTTCTTTCAAGACGCTTTTTGTCCTGGTTTTTTTTCCGATTCCAATTATTCCGTATGAATTCTTATTAATATGTTTATCATGTGTACATTACACGTATATATATATATATATTTTATTTTAATTTTTTAATTTTATTAACTTGTTGACATGGTTATTATGTTATCGACTATTGTATAAGGTATAAATAATAACCACAAAAATCAATGAAAATACTTAAACACGTAAGCCATTTATTAAAGCTATATGTTGAATGGCGACTGTGATCCAATTGGAAATTCGATTAATAAAAATAAATGTGATTTTTGGAATCGCACTTACTATTATTTATTACAACTATTGTTAACGTAATAAATAATATTTTAATAAACTAATAAAGCACTAAAATGTTAAATTTAAATGTCTAAGAGAAATTTACTTCCAACTTAAAAGTTCAATTTCCGTTTTTAAAAGATACCTACTGACGAAATCAGAAGTCTTGTTTTATCATTTTTTTTTTTTTTTAATATTATCAATTATCATCCTAGACTAATTTTAATTTCAATATACATGATGAGTTTCGATATAATAATTTAACAGTGTAATAAAACACTTACCTATTTTAAAATAGAACGCAATTGGAACATAAAAAGGGAGGGGGGAAATTTTTGTTTTTCTAATTTTGAGATGAAATCGATGGTCTCCGATAGAAATTCATAAATACTTGTAATATTATTTCCGAAATGTTGTGTCCTCGGGTAGTGTTTCCCAGCGAAATGATTTACGATGGCGATGGGCGACTGTAATAGGTCTGAGGTGAATCTATTATATTTATATTATATTATATTCGAGTATACGACACACGCATTGACCGTGGACGACCTAAGGTACACTTGACAAGAAATAAACGCCGTACGTGCATATACAGGCATACTTGTCTAAAACATGCACATAGTACGTGTATATATTATAATGACAGTGCTCTAATGATTTTAAACTTACCATTGTATAGGTATATAGGCCGGTATATGTACCTATAACCTATTCGCCGTTACACGTATCACGCCGATCGACCGTCAAGCTTATATTGTTTTGTGTTGGATATTACATAGGTATGTTGTATACACGCAAGATAATTATAATATTACCCATACCGCGGAATGATGTTCTTTTTAACGGCAACTATCCCATAAGATATATTCGATGCACTCACTCGTTCCTATGTGCATGTAATTTTTTTTTAACGCCAGTCTTAACCACGGTACATAAAGTATACATAATTATGTATACAATGACATTATCCTCTTGATTTATTATTTGTTTAGAAGACCATTGAACCATATCGATACGTAAACGAAAATACCTATATAATGTTGTGTAGTCATCTCTATAACCACTATGAATACTAGTGCCTTAAGCTCAAGCATCCTTTAGAATTTAAACCAGATATGAGGTATTTTTTTACTTAGAATTGGATGTGCAGATGTGCTTAAATATAAATCAAGTAAATAAATAATTTGTTACATTCAAAAAAAAAAAATTATTATCATTTATAAATAGGTACCAATATACCAGTGTTTACAGCATAATAAACAATCATATTATAGCAAGATGAATATAAAATATCCAATTTGAATTATAAAGTAGGCATTTAAAATTAATTTTTACAATTAATTTTAATTTTATAACCTCTAACAGTCATATGGCTTTTTCCGTTAATAGGTATTAACAATGATTTGAAGTGAAAAATAACATTTTCACTTTAAATATTTATTTGGTAATTGTTAAATATGATTGTAACATAAAATTATTTATCGTTTTTCATACTATTTAATAGATAGCTAGTGCAAATCTATTTCAAAAACCATATTACTTTACAATTTTCTGTATTTTTAAACTATGAATTATTATCATTTAATCAAAACTTAATCGATTTCAAAATAATTTTCATTATCATTAAGTTATTCTATAAATAAACGACCATTTCCTAATGTTTAAAAAATTGTTTTTCAAAAAAATCAAAATAATTTAAATGCGTTTCTTGACGGCTATGTTTTTGTAAATGATGGTAAGAAAGTGACCTTTAATAGTTTAGTCAAATTGGTATTACATAAAAAAGGTTCTCTAAAATATTCATATTCAATTTTAAATTAGGGCAAAACCTATTGTAGTATAGAAAACCAAAAGACAAATAAACAAATATTTCCAAAGATAAAACCAAAGTTACTGTACAAAAATAACACTCTATGTACTATGTAGTAAGCGTGTAATCTTTTATGACTGTTACCGATATATTTTATATTATTATATGATGGGCCAACCGCGATACCTGTGTTGTGTGAATGATCTATTGATAAAAATATATTATGTTGCGTAAATTTTTTCTAAAAATCGGTTATTCCCACTAAACCGTTCATATTGTAAAATATTCTTTAATTTTATTTATAACCGAACAAACGTACCATAGATTTATAATAATTTATACGGTTTATATAACGTACTCATAACGTTAGGTATACCGTATACATATTCGTATTCCTGTAATAATATACATAGATGTAAAAAATTGTTGTACCTATTGTAATGAAGTATTCTCAAGAGACCATACTATTATGATTATGTATGTCCACTACGCAGATAATATATACTATATAGGTAATACCTTTAAGTTTCTATAGTTAATTTACTATTAAATTTCCATTTTTAAGAACTAAAAATCTATAAGTCTTTAGTATGATAATTCTTATTTTTATGTATATATATATATATTATATTTCAGTTTGTGAAAGAAAAAATTAAACTTCATAATTTAAATTTATTTTACATTAGATAATAATACATATTAAATTCATACTCAATTGTTAGTTTTTTAATATTCCACTTTATAATAGAACAAAGTAATTTGTAATTTGAATAAATTATTTTAATTGGCTTTTAATAGTGTACATATTATAATAAAATTCTGCTATAGTTTATATTATGTATATTATTTTTAATGCATTTAAAAATAATTCAGACATGTACTATTTTATATTTTGTAGAAAAGAAAATTCCATCGAAAAGATTTTTCACCATTAAATTACGAGAATACACTTATTCGTGTGTGTGTGTAATACATAAATATGACCTACAAAGTATATCTACGTATACTAATAGTTATTACTTATTAGACTTGCCTGCATTGGAAGCTCTTTTCATTTAAACACTTGTCCATACAACCAAACCGTGAAATAGCTTTGAAATGCTGTTTGGAAGTAACTTTTAGTTCCCCGTGAATTGTATCGAAACTCCATGACCGTTGGTTACACGACTTTGGTGTCCGGACACATATTTTCCGAGCAACTGTTGCGCTTTGTATTGGGTAATGCGATCGTTTCAACGGAAAATCTGAAATTTAAACATTAAATTGTAATTTTCAATCAATTTTTCTTCATTTGCATTAATAAAAATCAATGATTTATATGGAAAGTTACACTTAAGGTCAATTATACTTAAGCTGGTTGAGAAGGAATTTGTATTTTTTTTTACTTTAAAATTATCATAAAGCATCAGTGATTTGAGTCTACTTCTTTCAATACCTATGACTATTGTTAATAAAAGGTATTATTAATTTAATTTAGCAATTCTAATTAATCGTTTTTTTTTTGTATTATATATATCGGCTCCGATAATCCGATCAATAAATACGCTTGAAAAATAAGTCTAATGGATAAAATATTATACACTTTATCATTTACCTAAACAACAGTGAAGGAATGAAAACTATTTAAAAAGGATCAATCATGAAAATATTATCCATTGGTGTATAAACGAGTCCCATAAATAATTCTCAGTGAAATAATTGTAATATCTACGAAAAATATGCACCTATATAAGTACAGGTGCGAAGTGAAATGATGATTCACACGTTTGACCAACTAAATCATCTGGCCAAATTTTAAAATTTGATATTGAAACAATAAAACGGATGGAAGCAAAGCAACTCTTTATAGTATTATAATGTTATACTTTTACACGGATAATGCATTTCGCGGTGTGCATCAGAGACGACAAATTAATAGCATAGACTTGTACCGAATCCATTAATTAATTAGACAGTCACTACTGTGGAATTGTATACATAGTTATTCTATCGCTCGAATGGAAGTTTCTGCGTAAAATTCATGCCACTTTAACTGTTAACCGGAGCAAATTGATCCAATAACTGTATGTTTATATAATTCAATGATAAGTTTATACCAAATATATAGTCACCATTAATTACGTTTAAAAATTAAAACGCTATGATTTCGCGCTCTATATTTTTATAAATATTTTTAATGTCACTTTTTAAATTTTTTTTCTATAAAAAAATAATATTATAATATTACTAATAATACTCGATTTATGAGATTTCTCAAATTACCTTCTAATGCCTTCTATTGCAGGCTATCAAGAGTCATATTATCATGTAAATTATATATATATATAGCATTTACTTAACATAATAAATAAAACTATAAAGGGCACGCGTTTATACATATGTATAACATCGTACGGTTAATTATTGGTTAAAAAAAGAAAATACTATAGGAAAACACGCTTAAAAAAATGTTACTCCTATATACCTATATATTTTATAGTTTATTTAATTACCGTACTGTCCTTGTTTTTCAATTATTATTTTTTTAATTGGAAATGTCTGATAAATAATATTAAAACCACCTTAAAATAAAATAATCGATGTTGTCATAAAACAATAATACAAGATCCTGTTGGTGAAATTCTCCTCCAAAAATAAAATACCATTGACCTCCATAGTTTATTTTCATTAACAAAAAAAAAAAGAAAAGAACTTTTCTTTAACTTTCACACATTTTTATTTAACTAAAATCGCCATATGGCTATATAGTTCTATGACTATTTTACGACAAAATTCAAATCATATATTACTAAATTTTATATAATGATTATAATATCACATCAGGACTATCAGGTTAGTTTTCCTTCATATATTATATTAACTGGCAGTCCGACACCAATAACAACCTTAATTGCTGTGTTATATATTGAATAATATGACATTAATAATAGATAATCTATCGTAATTTTGATTTAGCATACAATTATTAAGATACACAGCAATGTTCATTCATCTTTAATTTAATATTTTCATTAACTTTACCATAAAAAAGTTTTGGCTAAAATTTAAAAAAAAAAAAATCAAATTTTCTAAATAGATATTAAACAACAAAAGTTATATCATTCCTAATATATATCAGACACTCATATTACTCTTGCACACATTTGTATACGAATAACGGCTAATATTTATTTTCTTTGAAACAAGTATTCATTTCTTTGTATATAGTACCAAAAAAAAAAAAAAAAAAAATAAATAAAATAAATATTATTATTGGTAAAATGTATTTCTAGTGATATTACAGTTAGTATAGTTAAATTAAGTATTACATTTTGACATTAATGATTTGTTAAAATATTGACGATAATACTTATGTATATTATTTATTTTATTCATTTAAAGTCATTGTTATAAAAAATAATAATATTTTATCAATATTTTAATATATAAATATTTTTATTTTTTATTTAATTTGTGTTTGATGTTTTCATAAAAACTTATTTAGAACAATATTGTCAACCAGAAAATTATATGCATAATAATATGGAAAAAATTTGATATTTTAATAATAATTAAATAAATATTATAGAAGTTTTTACAATTATTGGTATTCGGTATTTATTGACGAGCGTTTTTTTTAGTCATCATTCAAATACTTTTTCAAAGTATTAATATGATATTTTATTATTTATTTATCGTTTATATTCATCACAACTATAGTTTAATCCGATATCTACTATTTTATTATTCTTAGTATAATTTATACGTTCGGGTAAATCGATATAGGATATAAATATTTTAATAAATCTGTCCGTTGAATGTGTTTTATACACTCTTCACTCTTCAATAGCTATGTCACAGTTCATCACGTCAAAGTTAGCTACCTATATACTTGATAAATTTGACATTATTGTGAAAGCGTATTATAGTATAAGATTATGCATTTATTTACCTGTATATAAGTATACAAGTTTTCTATATATCTTAGTGTTTTGTTTAAAACATTTAAACTTATTTATTTATTTTGTGATTTTTTTTTCTTTAGTTTTGTAGATATTCAACATATATTGTATTAGGGGTTCACCCCTACCCCTCCAAAAAATAAAAAATATACATTATTTATATAAGTTCATGTAATATAAATTATTGTAAATTTTTTTAAGAACTCCCTCCGGATTCGTTTTGTATACGTGCCTGTATATTTATTATCATTCCGCATTCGTCAACTTACATATATATTTATATACATTTTTATTAATTTACTTTATGTAAAATTATATTATAAAAAAGTATATATAAGTAAAAGTTAGGTATTTACTTCAATTCCAATGCATAATAAAATATTATAAATCATCATACAATTGTATCACTAAATACGTAAACTTAATAATTTATTAACGTTTTCATTAAGAATTAAAATGAGATAAGTAAGAAGTTGGTAATGAAGTAATTAATTTATTTTCATAATCACTCCATTAAAATGAAATATAATTAAAAAAAACTTTCTTTATTTAGATTCCAGAATGCATTATGCAAATCGCTTTTTATTGCTACTTATGCTACCTATATCGTCCATAGGTAACTATAATAATCTGTATTTGTCTGGATGGCTGTATAACATTACATGCGTTTGGCATATTCTTCCGGAATTTTTACATTATTATTACTTTTTTTTTTATCATAACTATATTAAACCCACAGCAGATACCAGAGTAACATAAAACATCTTAAAATGTATATAAATACCTTTGCGAGTTACCATAGAAACCTCGTTAACATGGTACAGCGTTATTTTTATAATAATTTCTACTACTCTGAAATCCGACGTGGGTAATTTGCATATGGATACACCGTAATCACATAGATATATAAACATGCTACAAGTGCGGCTTTTTTCCTTATACACAGTACCGTAATTCGTAGATCAATATCGTTTATTATAATATATGTGTGCCTACCATTATATTTAAACCGGACATTCGTATTGGTCTTAGAACCTATTGAAAAGACAGTTGCTTATTATTATTATTTTTTTTTTCTATCGAATTTCATTAGTCTTTAAATTATCGTACTTAAAATCGATAGAATATTTATGTACCGCCCTGTAACGTACCTTTAATGGTAGTTATTTGAAGATTTCATCGATTCCACCAAACTTTTCTTTTATTAGAGGCGAAGGTATATTGATTTCGCCACTGAAGACTGTGCAAATACATCTAATCAACTCGTTGATCTTACTAATTTGAAGTCAGAAACTTAAGAAATTTAAGATTGCTGTACTATTTTCTTACCGAAAAAATGTCAAGCTATATATATGTAGGTAGATATGGATGGACCAGGAAAGTATGGACAAATACTAAAAACTTCCGAAAAAAAATTGTAAATCATAATTTTAAATTAATATAAACGCTATTGATAATAGTACTATAATTATTTATTATACTTATAATTTATAAAATAGGTAGTAGATAATTTGTATATTATCAAGCACATAAAAGTGTTAATCAAATATGTTCATTTCTATAATTTTCCTTTAATAATTAATTAATTCAAATTCTAATTTTTAGAATTTTTTATTATATTTAAGGACCATATTTCCAATTTTTTTTTTTAAGTATCCTGTGGGATGATTTAAAATTCTGTTTTTCAAATAAGAACCCTTCTTTTTACTGAAAATAATTTAGTGAATATTTTTTTATTTTAATTTACCTATATTTAAATTTACCTAATTCAAAATTCAAACGAGTAGATTTTCTTAGTTATTAAAATATTTATACTAAAAATAATAGTCTTTAAAAAGGTTTTACAAAAATATAAAATAAAAGTAATAGTGGATCTAATATTTATATACCTAATTCGAATAAGTTTATTTTTACGAATTATAAATTTTGATGGATTAATATTAATTAAAATATTTAAATTCGCCATACCTTGCATATCTTCTAAGCCCATTATCATAGGCTTATATTATCTTAGATATATAAAATTAAGTAACTATAAAAAGTATATGTTAAAATTTTAATTTCGACAATTCAAAATACTCAGAAAAATAATTTACATTAGAAAAAGGAGATTTTAAATATAAAAATAATAGTTTATTTTCCACAGGACATTCATTCCTCAAATAATATACAAAATAAAAAAACCTTAGAATTAAAAAATATAGTATTTAAAAGAATTTAAATGTTTTAAAAATCAGAATTTGAATTATAATTGTATTAATTGAAGAAATAAATTATTTTGTAATTGCAATGTAATATTGTAT